AATGAAAAGGATTGAGTAGCAACGGTTGAAAACAATGAGGGGCAACAATATGACCGTTCCGATGTAGGGGAGCATCGCCAGGCAGCAAGTGCCGCAGACCGCGAGTATTGAAATAGCACCCAGGCAGATTGCCATCACGATCTTGAACAGGAAGTACCTGACGTACACCCCGAAATGACCAACAAACAATTCACGATGCCAGATTTGCAAAGCCCGGATCGCAGTGACTCGATGTAGGTACATAATTGGCACAACAAAATCTGCAAGAACCATCAGGACGAATCCGAACAGAAACATCAAGAAGAAAAAAGAGGCGACCCCAAATACCATCGAGGCCATGGCTCCCAGGCGAAATTCACCTTCCATAATATCGGGTAGAGCCAACATCCCTGCGAATAACGCGACAGCCATCAGCCCGATTAAACCGGCCCACGCCATCCAGAAACGGAGCCAAAAGAGCGAATTCCCCTCAGGGCGAAACTCTCGCCAAGGTTGCACCACGGCACCACGGTTTTGAACCACACCGTCGATAAACATGAAGTGGCCGCGGCTGCTCAGCCAGGTTAGCACGAGGCCAATCGCAATGATGACCGCCACGACCATGGCGGCGATAACAAGTGTGAGTAGCAGATTATCTTCGATCCATGCGAGAACTGGATCTTCACCAGGCTGATTCCTCGCCCCCCCGCCACTAGTGTTTGACCCGCCCCCTCCTCCCCCACCGTTCCCAACGGTGAGGTTCATTAAGAACGCACAAAAACCAAGCCGCAGCCACTTTCCCAAGTCGAACGGTCGAAACAGAATTTCCTTGGTCTGTTCGATCGCGGGTGAGACAGGATCGATTACGGACAGCCGCATGTCGACTCCATTAGGTAACAGCTAGGTTGCTTGAGAATACGGGAATTGGTGATTGTCCAATATCGCACTTGCCACTTGGTTCACGGCACGGACCGTGAAAGTATCGCTGGGGGTTACCCTAAAAGGCAAGTCACTTCCCGAGGGAAGCTTAGAAGAGGCAGTTCAACTTCAGTGGTCGATTTACCAAAACCAGCGAACTTCGAACCGTCCAAGGTCTTTGAAGAGTCGGTCGTGGGTAATGTTACGCGCGTAACTGCCGCCGATTTCCATGTGGTTCCCAACCACAATCCGGACACCCGGCTGAACGTTGATGATGGGGCTGTTGTCGGCTGCTTGCGTCGTGCCGTCGGGCAACGTTTCCATACCCGTTGTGAATTTCGTGCCGACCACTTCTAGCGTGGGAATGATGGCGAACGAGTCGCTGGGACAAGCAGCAAGTAGCGAAGAACTCAGTACATGGCTTACTCCAAAGCCGCATTGGAAGAAGTTGCCTGAGAAGCCAGATCCACCAAGCGGGATCCAGTAACTCGCTTCGCCATGAAAATAGGTCGTGGGCGAGGCCATGTAATTGACCAACGCTCCAGGTTGCAGTGAGACGTATCCACGGGTCAAACCCCGGCCAGTAAGCGGAGAGCCGAGGGAGATGTGAGTTTTGAATAGCGAGGAGACTTGGAACTTATCCAGGTTGTTGCCCGGCGTTGGCAGTCCGAACATCCCGTTTTCTTCGATGAGGACACTCTTCGTGCCAAACGTAAGATTCGTAAAGCTTGTGGTGTTGTTGTTGACCGTAGGATCTAGAAACCGCAACGGGATTTCGAAGAAGCCCGAGCTATTCCCGATCATCGTCTCGCTACGGGTCTTGAGCTCGAGGTAGTCCAGGTTGGTCTCCGGCGAAGCTGGGCCTCCAGAACCGATCTGCGACCAATAATACTCGGCCCGGTCAGGACGATTGATGCCGCTAGCGTAATCGAACCTGGTGCTGAGGGCGTTTTGAGGGCGTGCCGATTCAATCTCGAACAATGCAAACGGGACACGTTCAATCCCGATGGTGGGAACATAGCTGCATCGCGTGCGCGTGCACTCGGCATCAAGCGCTTTGATCGCATGCTGGACTACATCGTTGGGGATGGGCTTGGGCCCCACGTAGTCCAGTGGTTGCTCGTCGTAAATCGGCGGCAGGATTTCGCCGAACATGAATTCCTGTCCGCCCTGCATCATGGGAAAACCCTCATCGATAATGATGATGGGCTCTTGCACACCGCTTGGAGACGGCACGACCTCCGGGCTATTGGGCGGCGGAAGGGGCTCGGGATCGCCAACTTGAGATGATACGAGTCTCGCGGGTGGTTGGTTTTGAACCTCGGAATGCTCAGGAGTGTATTCCACCACAGGATGAATGCGTTGAGCTGGCGGCAGCTTAGGCGGTATGGATTTGGTGGCTTGCTTGTATGGTTCCTGATAAGACACCAGGGATACATGTTGCTGTGAGGCAATGGGTTTTGAATGCTCGACCGGCGGTTTATTCCAGGGGGCCGGTTCTGGATTCATGGGGATGAGAGGCGCAACCTCTACGATGGGAGGGGCGAAAGTCGTGTCGCCTTGGGTTAGCGTCACCCCCGCACCACCGACAACCAGCGTGCAAGCCAGCAGTCCTTGCAGTAGTTGTCGGGATGATGGAAGTTTCATGGCGTCGCGTCGATTGCGATGAGAAAACAGAGAACGTGTTTGCTACCCAGTTAGAGTGCTAGAGTCCGCCGACGGGTTGAGGGGGAGTGTAGACCGCCTGATTCACTGATGAGTCGGTTGACTGTGGTTGTTTGGCGTCTGACGCGGGACTTGGGTCGGGCTTCGCTGGATTGTCGAAGTCAGGCGTGCCCAGGCATTCCGCTGGCCGACATTTCAGACACTCACTTATCATTGCGCTGGCAAGTTGGCGCACGCGTTCAGAACGTTCGAGATAGCCGTTGTTCACATCGCGGGCGAGTAGCAAGTCGCTCAATCGGGCGATGACCACCGTTTGGCATTGGCAATTCGGGCAAGTCGATGTCAGCCGTGGATCGCAGCAGGCCTGGCAGCTCGTCCCGCAGCACTTCCGCAGGGCCAGCAGCGCCTCGTAACGGACTTCCTCAGCGCAGTCGTCCAACGAAATCAACAGGCTATGAACCACTTCGGGGTAGCGAAGACAATCAACCGTGGCCAAATAACGGATTGCCGCAACCTTTTCACCAGTGGTCTTTTGTTGTGCTGCGATTGCCGCGGCAGTGCCGACCGGGCCTCCGGGCCCATCCGCACCCGGGCCTGCTAGCGGTGACATGCCCATCGGTGGAACGGCTGGCACGTGTGGATTCAAACCAACGGCCGCCGTCATCGGGCTAATGAATGTGCTGGTGAGTGTTTTGAATGCCGGCAACTGAAACATGCATTTCACTTGCTGCTTGAATTCATCGACGCCCAAGAACGACCAGATTGTCGTGCCGGGCACGGCCGATGAGGCTAACTCCGTCGCGGCATCCGCGCGCGAGACCTGAGGGTGCAAAGTCACCGTCAAGGATACTGCTGCTAGCAGTGCGCGAACCGAGTATGCTGCCAAGCGCGCGTTCTGTTTCATGAGTTCCGCCGCCCGGGTTTTGGACGACCCCCTCCAGCATGGCGTCGTAAGTGCGTAACGATTCCGGAATGATCGCCAGAGTTTGACTAATCGGCAAAGTCAGCCACCTGCCTACACGATTTATGGAGCTTCTTTCACTCAGCGGAGATAGTTTGCAAACTCAAGCACTGAGAGACCTTTGAAATCTGCAGTTAGGACTGCGATTCAGCGAAATCTTACGAAGACGAGGTGCGATCGGTACCGATAGACCTAATTGATAGACTCGCTAGCTTTTAACGGGAGATGCTAGCGGGTCTTTCTTACCGCGAGTGCTCGCCGCTTCAAGCGAGGCTCGGTCTCCACGATTCACATTTTCCCAAGGAAGGGCTATGTGTGATGGCGAGCGGTGAAACACTCGATTTCGCGACCTTGGTTCAGCCGATTAATGCGAAGAACCCAGCCGGCGAAGACCTCCGCAAGAATACCTCTCCTACCTCGCCTTACTACATGCTCAAAGACGAGCGTGCGAAGGCTCGAGCGATTGAGCGTAAGCTGATTTTCGACGATAGCCATACGGGGTCACCTCAGCCTAGCTGGCGGATGATCCTGGAGTTTGCCCCTCAGGTCATCGCAGAACAGTCGAAGGACCTCGAGTTGGCCGCCTATTTGATCGAAGCCCTCGTCCGCGAGCGGGGCTTTCCGGGGCTGCGAGATGGCTTTCGGTTGGTCCGAGAGCTAGTCGAAAGCTGCTGGGACGCACTCTACCCGTTGCCCGATGACGAAGGGGTGGCGTCTCGGGTTGCCCATCTTACAGGGCTGAATGGCGTGGGCGGCGACGGCACCCTGATTCGCCCGATTCTCGCTGTGCCGATCACCGAGAACTCTTCGGTTGGCTGTTTTACTACGGCCGACTACCTGCAAGCACAGCAGCTAGCAACCTTGGATGCCCACGAGCGGCAGCTTCGGCTGACCGATGGTGCGGTTTCCATGGAGATGATCCAAACTGCGGTCTCCGAAACTCCGCAAGAGTTCTACGAGGGTCTTCAACTGAACATTTTGGAAGTACTCAAAGAGTACGACCGTATGTGTACAGCACTTGACGAACGTTGTGGCGAGCATTCGATTCACTCATCGAATATCCGCAACGCCATCGAAACCTGTCTGGAGTCGGTCCGCTATGCGATCGGAGGCTTCCCCGTGCGGGGTGAAGCGGAAGACGATACAGAGGAGCAGTCGGTATCTCAGCAGTGTGTCGTGCCCACGGTTAGAATTCGGTCGCGAAACGAAGCCCTGACGGCTCTTAAGCAGGTGGCCGAGTACTTCCGACGCACCGAACCGCACAGCCCGATCTCTTATGGAGCTGAACAACTGGTGCGGTGGAGCCAAACTCCGCTGCCCGAGTTGTTGTCTGAATTGGTTCCAGACAACTCGGCCCGAGAGCATCTATTTACACTCACCGGCATGCGACGAGCTGGCTAGCCAGGGCAACTCAATCTCAGGTGTTACTTTTTGTGTATCAGCCTGGGGCCATCAAGCTACGGTTCTTGTCCGGTGGCTAATTGATCCGGTGAGCCCTGAGATCGACGACGGTCTTTAGGTTCTTCTGTGAACCATGGGGACCACGGACGAGAATTCTCTGCGGCTGCGTGTTGTTGGGGAACACGAACTGGCCTGTATAGATGGCATCGAGCACGTTGTAGGTCTGCTGCGACTCCAGCGTTTGCTGCTCGAACTGGATGCTCCAGTGCTGGACATCCGCGTAATCTTCTGGGAAGACCAGAGCGACCGTGGCAACATTCTGCAGAGTACCGTTCACGGTTTCGGTTCTGAATTCCCGTCGGGTCAGTGAAACCTCTTCTGGCAAGGTGCCTGGCGCGATAACTCCGTCCCACGGTACTGGGTAGACCGTTTGTTTGGGGTCTCCAATGTCCGACCAGGTGATTTTCACGTCTGCCAGATATTCGGTACTTGGCCAGTCGGCCAGCCTGATCTGCCAGACAGCGTTGTGGTGCTTTGAAACATTGGGTGAAATGTCACGTACCACGTAGGGCATGTCGGCTCCGCGCCCTTGGACCTGCATCGATACATCGCTGGGGAACCAACCGAACTGCCGCGGATTGGAAAGTGAGAACTCCATTACCAAGTCGCCCTTTTGCAGTTCGGCTCGCAATATTTGAAGTTGCGTGCCGGTCTCTTGATCCACAGCTCTGGCAACGTCGCCCAGATCACTTGAGGGCAAGTAGTTCAGCTCGCCTCCACCGTAGAGCAATTCGTAACGATCTCCGCGACGGAGTTGAACGCCCAGTCGCGTGGCAACCACCTGGTCTGCGTGCCCCATCACGGCAATGTTGTACGTCCCTGGTGCAAGCTTCATGGGCTCGGGATTGTACGTGACAATTCCGGAATACACCTGCACCGGGGTCGATGAGTCGGGTTGTGAAGTGACCTGATAGGTCAGCACCCCGGCCAGGCTGAGAATGTTATCCAACAGGTCGCTACCGTTGTCGGCCCGAACGCTATGCCCACCGGTGGAAGCGGCAATCTGCTGGAGTTGGTAGAAGCCCTGAACGTCGGTTTGGAAGCCCACAGTGTGAACCGTAATGTCGTTTTTGGCATACGCCTCTTCAAACTGCTGGAGCCCTGGTTTCTCTCCGACGGCGGCCCAATTGTCAGAGCCATCTGAGATGAGGACGATAACCTGTTCACCTTTCCCCAGGCCGCTGAAGTCATCTTGGGCTTGCAAGAGCGAATAGATGATGGGTGATTCGCCGACTGCATGCAGGTCTTCGATGACCTCCCCAAATCGCTTCGTATTGACCGGGCGAATTGGCATGACGAGCTGGGTGTCTTTACGTGCCGCGGCTTCAGCAGCGGCATTGCCCTCTTGCCAGACGACGCTATCACCGAAGACTCGAATGCCTACATTAATTGTTCCCGGAGCCACGGATTGGGCGAACTGTTCGAGCGTTGTTTTCAGGGTTTCCATTCGCTGACCAAACAACATGCTGCGAGAGCAATCGAGGATGAATAGCACGTTGGCAGGCGTGGCATTCACCTCGGCCGGTCGGATGACCAACTCGGCATCGTTGGTGCGCTGATCTCGCATCTCTACGGTGGGACCCTCATCGTCGGAAGGGCCACGCACGTTCAGCGAGCGTGAGCAAGTGTGACCACGGTAGTAAACGTTTGCCTGTAGTCGCGTAGAAACTTTTTGAGCAGTCGGCCGTTCGACCAGATAAGGCAGTGGGTATTCGCTCTTCTGATCGGGCAATGCTCGTAACGTAACGTCTGCCTCGGCGGTTTCGCATGCGAGCGTGGCAACGCCAGTGGGGGTGTTTTCTGGCAGCCGCACGGCCAAGTCCAGTTCTTCTTTGTCCACTCCTCGAAACACTAGTCGCGAAGGGTGACTAAAGATGATGCCATCGGCCGATTGCTGAATTCTCGTGGAGATCGTGAACAATTCGGCCAATCGGTTGTCGAGAGTCACATCACAAATGCTGTGCTCGGAGTCGATCGACTGAGCCAGCTTCAAGTAGTGCTGCCCGGTGCGATGGAAGTAGTAATCTTCTGCGTTTGGTTCTCCAGCCCAAAAATCTTCGGCCAGCCGCAATCCTTGCCAGGCACAGAGTCCCGCGAATTCTTCTCGGTGCAGCTTCTGTGTTGCCAGGTCGTTGTCCGAGGGGAGCCCAACCGCGATGGGGTAAGACTCCATAATCCGACAGGCCGTGTTGGCCTGCAGCAGGCGGTCTAAGTTTCTCTCGGGAAATGTCGCCAGGGTGGCGAATTCATAAGTCTTTAACCAACCACTCGCAATCGCAGGGCTGAACGGTGAGGCATCGCGTTCACTCTCCAAGGCTTCGATGTCGATTGAATCAGGCAGCGAGTAGAACGCACCGGCCAGCTTTCGCGAGTACTTGATGTGATCGGAAGTGAGTAGTTCCTGCTCATCTGAAGAAACGGCATCTTTGCTGATAACAATCTTCTGATCGTGCGTGGGGTTCACGTGCTGGCAGATTCGCTGCAAGAGCAGCATGCGCCGTTCGGCCAGAGTCGCGCTTGGCTCGTCGCTGTAGGCAAATGGAAGCGTCAATACCGCATCGATACGCCGCCAAAGCTCTGCTGAAGGGGTATTCTGCGACGCTTGTCCCCGACTCAAGTCTCGCATCTCGTGCCCTACGAGTTGCAAGAGTTGGTCACGCGTGTTCTTCACCCAGTCGGCCAGTGCTCCTATCGCTAGAATGTGTTCGTTCTCAGAGAGGTTATCTGTGTGCTTCGCCCCAGCGCGTAGTTTGCGATCCAATCGATCCAAGGTTCCCAAGAGTGAGAGCGTCATCGGATCGATCTTCTCGCGGAACTCATTGACGTCAGTGCTACTTCGTCGTTTGCCACACAGGGTGACTAGATGGACTGACTCGGCGAGCGTGAGATCGCGAATCGTGAATGCATTAGCCAGGGTGTCAGCAGCTTGGATCGCCTGTTGATACCGCTGAGTTCCTGTGTCTCCGACCGGCTCAACAGTCGATCCGATCGAAACACCTCGGTTACCGCGAGCGAAAAAGTTGTCCTCTTGAATCCGACGTAGACGGTCTCCTTCGTTGACCCAAGCTTGAATCCAGGGGAAAACTCGAGGAGCGAGGTATTCAGCCGGCGCTGCAGCCTGCTCTGCAAGAGCTCGTTGTTCTAGAAGTTGACGCGAAGTATTCAGGACCTCGTCGGTCGGAGTTTCCGTGGATGCCAACGGTCCAAAGTTGGCCATCATTCTCAGCATTTCGCCTTCTACGGGAAGTGCTTGCTTCGTGGTGTTGGCTTGCCGCAGCTTCTGCGCAGCGATGTTGGCCGGTACTGTCCCTTTGATAACCTGTGAAATCAGCTGCCAAATCTCGGCGGGCGACATCGGATCTGTCGCAAGCGAATTGGAGACCTTGGCGGGGCTACCGCTCCCTTCCTCTCCTGAAGTTGAGGAGTCACTATCAGCAGTGTTCTCTGTTTTTCCAGCTTCTGGCGAGTGTGGTTTTGCTGACTTCTCTTCAGGCGTGGACGACTTCTCTGCAGGTGTGGTTGAAGTTTTGCTCGGGTTGCCTTGGTTGATTGCTGGCAGAGTCTGGTCTGCTGTTTCGGTACCTGGCGAGCCGGATTTTTCTGGCGGTTGGAAGCTACCAAAGAGTTGGGCCATTGGGCGCGAGTAAGCAACAGCACCTTCAGCCAGAGGCTTCCCCGATTCTTCAACGCTTTGCAGTCGCAGCATCACCTTGCGTAGCTCTTCCGACATCGCCTCCATATCGGCACCGCGGAAGTAGCGTTCTGCTCTTAGCAGCGAGTCTTCCAGACTGCGCCAAAGATGAGGCCGGAAGATTGTGGGATTCGGGTTAAGGCGCGATAACTCGTAGTATTCTTCCCAGGCCTTCTGGAGCGATGCTATGTTCTTCTCATACAGTTCTCCGCCTTGGCTGGTGAGCGGATCACTGGTGGAGTACACCTGGTTATCGGAGGAAAGCGCTAGGAGTTCGACATCCGCGGGATCCACTCCGACAGCTTCCATAATTGGAGTCTGTTCATCCGTACGGTTGATCGCCATCCATTGCTGCACGTTGCTGTGCACGTAATCGAACAATTCTTGAGCCGAGATACGTCCGTCTCGATTGCCAGCGACGGTGTCGGCCGGGCCGGTGATTCCGCGAATAAAGTAATAGGCGAATGCAGTATGCAGGTAACCATTCTCAGCCCAGGTTACTTCTCCCGGGGAGCACGAAAAGATGACGACGATTCCCTTGTAGCGTTCCTGGTTTTCGCGAAGCTCTCTCTGCACGGCGTCGACAAAGCGATTCGAAAGAACCCCCAACGGCCAGAAGTGGTCGAACCGCTGGCAATCTAAAACAAGCAGCTTGTATTCGGAATCGTGAGCGGCCAATTTGTGGAGGAGTTCGGTAACCGCCACTGCACGATCGGTCGGAAAACCGACTGTGCTGAGCGACATGCCAAAGTCATCGGGCAAGAGATAGGGGACCGGTTCCTGATTCGCTCCAGGGGGAATGCCAAGTCCTGCAGCGTTGCAGTAGACCAATGTGGTCCGCTTCTGCCAGGGCAACCATCGAGGAAGTATCGGTGAGTCGGGAAGCCGCGAGACGACTGCCTGCATCTCGTTGTAGCTAAGGCTGTCTGGATCTGCGTCTGCGATGTCTAGTTCCGAACTTAGGCCGTAGAGCGCATGAACGTCGTTGCCAACGAAAGGGGTCGGTGGCATCAAGGGGCTGTTAGAGAGACTACTAGAGATCAGGACCAACTGTGGTCGTGGTATCGGTTGAAACCAACCAATGACGACGACCGTCAGAACCACGAGCAAGGCGCAGACAAACCCAACTAGCGCACCCAGGCGACGATTGCGTCGCTTGGGGGTGTGCAGAACTTGCCTTTGCTCCACATTTCGCCAACGCCGCAGCGCCGGATGTCGAATCCGTCGTGAGATTGGGATATCGACTTCGCAGCTTCGGTCTGCTTGACGCCAGTTTTGTCTCACCATCACTGCGGTCCTTCGCTACAGTCAGCCATGAGTGGAGGTCGACTGCGATCGAAATCTGTTCGTCACCGGCCCATTAACATGCCGCCTAGGGCCACAACGTCGAGTGCAAGCATCGTGACCACAAGCGCTGCGGCCACCGCCGACATCGTCCGAAACCGGCGGTTCCGACGTAGTGCCGTGTCATTCCAGCCAATGACCTCATCGTGATCTTCGAGCATCTTTACCGGGATCTCGTCGAACAACGCCCGATCGGATCGAGTTAACGATGCGAAATACACTCCACTGAGATAGAAGCGATCTCGTGTGTCGACAGCGAATGCATTTGTGAGCAGGCTGCAAAACCGCTTTTCAGATTGCCGCGACGACTCCAGCAAACGATACAACATACCGTTCTGTTCGAAGTCTAAGCGGTCCTGGAATAACCGGAAAACGCGGTGTTCGAAGTGGCTCTGCAACCATTGATGCAGCGGTTCGACATCGCCTTTCGTGGGGGCCGTGAAGTAGGGCAAGCTACAGCCCCAACGGTGTTGTCGATCCTCGTCGGCCACTCGCTCGAGGTAGGCACTGAACTCGGGCGTTTGCTCGATCTCGTGAAACACAACTTGGCATTGGCATTTGATATGCGCGTCGTGCTGTAGCACTTCCATATCGGCTTGCACCGTATCTGCCAACTGCGCACAGTCCGGATCGTCGATCCATTGATACGGCACGGTGAGCAGGACGCCATTGAACGGAACAACGGGTCCGCGAATCTGCCGAAGCAGTTTCACGAAATATCGCATCCGTCGTGCACAAACTTCCTTCTCTTCAACCGTAAGCCGTAAGCCAGCAGGAGTTTGATCGCTAGGCGCTGAGTACTCAGCCATATGGGCCACCTGGGCGCTAATCGCTGAAACGCCGGGTACTGTAATCCAAACTCCTTCGTGATTGCCGTACCAACGGACGGAAGCATCCTCGCGAACTCCGAAGAAAGTCTTTCCAATGGCGGGCGAGGAGGCGATGGCTGAGTCGGAATCGTCGTTGGTACCAACAATCAGAAAAATTGGTGTTTCTCGGATGTTGATACGCTCGAGGTTTAAGGCCTCGAGCCCAGACGCCACTGCGGCCGCGATATCGGGGAACTCTTGAGATCGTCTGGGGACGAGTTGTATTACCAGCAGCATCAGGCGAACACATAGATAGCCGAGCAGCGCCACCAGGCCCAGCCAGACCCTGCGTAGGGGCGTTGGGCCGACTAGATATCGTTCCAAATCGAAGTACCAATTGATGGCGGCCAACACGATCGTGACCACTGCCACGGTCACAACTTCCAACGCGATATAAGCCCACCGCGGTAGACTACCGGAGAAGACAGCTTCCGCACCCTTTGCAATAAAGGTGAAGGGAAGGAGCAAAATCTTGAGAACAGGCTTGATTGCCTTGGTCATCCATGTGCCGATCACAGTTGCTCACCCTCTGACGGCTAGAATGAGAAGCGAGAGGACGATGGTCGCTGCTAGCACCATTGACCAACGAAAGAAGTGCTGGTTTCCGGTCAGGGGCCTTGCGTCTCGGGGCGTCTCCGGCGCGCTAGCTGGCTTGTACGAATCCCCGCCCTCACCACAGAGTTGCGAAAAAACGGGAGCCGCCCATTCGCTCAGAGTTTGAGGCATGTGCCCATTTGTCTGCTTCTTTAATACTGGTTTTGCGGTAGGCTCGAGAACCGCGGTAACACCATTACTGAGCGGTTCGCCATTAAGCTGTTCAGCGACGGAGTCGGCACTCTCTGATTGAGCATTGATTTCCGCTTCTTCTGGCGGGTCGTCAGCGTTCCGTTGGGCCGTGTCTTGAAAAACGGCTCGGCGAAGACTTTCGCTACGATAGATACCTTGAAACCCTAATGCGACGCATTGCCCAAACACTTCCAAGGCATCGGTGCTTTCAAGGGATCGGGCATAGTCGGCATTCTCAAAGAACTTCCATGCCCGATTACGAGAACCGTAGATTTCCCGTTCCAGGGGATTGTCTCGCCATTGCGAGGCGTAGGTCCAATCGGAGTTCACGAGCAGTTCGTCGATCCAATAGACCATGGCCGACTTCGCCAAGGAAAAATCTTCCTCCTGGGGTCCGCGGACGTTGAACTGCCCTAGCATGTTCTTTAGGCGCGGTCGGATCTCGTCCTGCTCGGGTAAAGCCCCGTCAGATTCGCGAATCCGATCCATGACGCCCAACACAAATAGCGTCAGCGGAACGACCTTATCTTCAAACGGCCCATGCATTTTGCAGTACAAACAGATCGAGGGTCAGTTCGTGAGGAGTGTCGTTCTCATCAACGACGTTAATTACGTTCTTGCCGGTGAAATCACCGCGCACAAAGCGGTTGTTGACTTTAAGTGCCAGCGTCGGGGCGTCGAGAAGCTGTTGCCAGTAGGGGCCGCCAGTTTCAATCTTGAAGTAGGTCACCCCAGTCAACTGGGGCAGCGATGCATGACGACCCTGAACTCGGGTCAGGCTCAGTCCTGCCTCACCGTTCTGGTAGATTTGCGAGATCAGCCGACTTGTGCCAAGTTTCCAGTCCAGATGGCTTTCGCCGATCATTTGATTCAGATCGTCGGCCACTAGCCCGCTACGGATGCCAATGAATAGTTGGGAGTCATCCTTGAGCCAGTTCGGGTCGAGGCTCGCTTCCATGCGGTCCTCGACTCCGATCAAGGGGACGCGGTGGATGCGAGCGATTGGACCGTCGGCACAGAACATGGCGTCGATTTCGGCCTTGATGTTCGTGAAGATCCGTCCCAGATCGTCGTGATCGTAAGCTGGCAATTCGGGTGGCTGCCAGTCTTCACGCTGAATCGACAGCTGTCCGATCAGGCGGCAAAGCTCACGGTACATCTCGAACGGGTGTACGCTATGCGCTTGCACCAGTTGCAGCAGCACCGGATAAGAAGCATTCACGGCAGCTAGCTGCATGATGGCGTGATGAACTTGCGGCAAGTTCGACTCACTCCAGCCACCTTGCGTCCGCAGGTCCGAGGCCTGTGTTTTGATGTAAGAACCAAGCTGAGCACAAATGGCAAGCAGGATGTCTTGCTGCAGATTGTCAGAGCCCGTGCAGGCTAGCAGCGGTGGGATATATCCGGGGTCAATCTCGGGAATACCACCTGGCTGACCCGAGCGACGAAGTCGGAACAAGGGGAGCGATTCAAACCCTGCCGGCGATTCTAGTTCGGGCTGAACGCGAAGCTGAATGTTGAGGTAGTGGGTTTCGATTGCACGGCTAGCGTGACCGCTATTGCGCTCTTCCCACTCTTCGGTTTCGATCAAAAACCGCTGCTGAATCGGAACGCCGTTCTTACGCCCAGAGTTGGATTTGCCCACGACAAACTGTGGAAGCACGACGTAGACATAGACTTCAGAATGCTGCTGCAGCGCGGCTTTGACATCAAGAGTGTCGAGATGCCCGTTGGAAGGCGCAGAGATCAGGGTGCCGTCCTTCAGTCGTGCCTGAAGTCTCGGGATGCGCACTTCGAAATTGGCCAGAGCATCGGGCAGGATCTCGATGTGGCGAACACCGTAGCAGTAAGGCGCCACCCAATCCAACGAGGTGGTGAGCCAGTCGTGAAGGTTTGCCTCTGAAGCTTGAAAGTGGTGTGGTAGCACCAACATTCCTTCAAACCATCGGACCTGCCGGGTTTGCATGACTGTCCTCGTCCCTGAGTGACCACTTCAGAACGTCAACGAATCAGAAGAGAAATTCGGGCCCCGCTCGGGTGTCAGGGGGCAACGCCTGCGCTGGCAATGCTCGCACGGTGACTGTTCCGGCAAAGACAGCGCTGAGGAGCGTATCGGCTATATGGCTTGTTCTGAATAACCGCGGAACAACAGTTTGTCGGAAAATCATTATTCGACCGATATTGAGAGTAACCCGAGGCCGAATAGCTAGCCGCAAGGTTCCCGCAGATTGCCAAAGATCTGCGGGCTTCTCCGAATTCACACTTGGCCCGACACGAGCTGCGATGAGTGAAGAAGCCATACCCGCTGAGAAGGTTTCAAAGGAAGAGAAGCTCCCTTCCCTAGCCAGCGCTGAGAAGGCTTTGAAGCCAGAACTTCCTAAGGAAGAGCCTGAGACTTCAAACACACCTGCTGTCGAAGGTGATGGCAGCCATCCCAATGCACAGCGGTTCTTGGGAGGGCGCCGAACCCTGGACAAGTCACGGCTTCACCTCCCTCGGTGGTTCGGGCTGTTCGTACTGGTTTCAACGACCCTAATCTGCATGATCGCCTTTCTGTCGGTTGCCAGTTGGGCCGTAGTATCTCCGCGGCAGAAGCCTGAGCTGATTTGCCTGGTGGAAGCAGAGTACATGGCTCCAGCCATTCCATTGGTTCGCTACGGGCTTCAAGACGGGCAGCTGATTCGTTCGTTGAGCCGGTCTTCACTGAAGCTTGTCGAGGGTATCTCACGGACTACCGCCGACGACACTGGCCCCATCAACAAGCAGTTCTTCGAGCACCAGCTTGATCAACTACAAGGCGATACCTGTGTGATCTACATTGCGGCACAAGGCGTCTCAGACGAGGCGGATGGTTATCTGCTGCATCGAGCCTCGCATCAAAGTCAGTTCGGTTCGGGCTTCTCGCTGACAGACCTGCTGGCCGCGATTGAAACACACGGAGTGAAGAATGTTTTATTGCTACTCGATACGGTGCGGGTAGATCGAAGCGTGCAACTGGGCATGCTCGGCAACGATTTCAGCTACTATCTCAAGCGTGATTTCGAAGTTCTGCGGCAGCGAGCAGAGAAAGAACAGGATCTTCCGAACCTGTGCATTATTTGCTCGGCAGACGACGGTCAAATCTCCGCCCCACCGCCGGGCCTGGCGACTTCGCCTTTCGCACTAACGACTGCCTATGCCTTGCAGGGCGGACCAGGGTCTAAAGTCACCAAGGGTGCTGACCAGAACCTCGATGGGAGAATCTCGGCACTGGAAATCGCGGAGTACGTGGAGCGAGCGATTTCCGACTGGTCGTTGGAACACCAGCAGACTCCACAGACACCCTTTCATCTTCATCTGGGAGAAGACTTCCCCTTGGTATTCGTCGACCACATGGTGACATTGGATTCGGTGCTGGCTCACGCGTTTCCGCCTGAAGACAAACAAAAGAAGGGTACTTCCCCTGCTGGGGCAAAGCATCCTTCGCAAGAGAATGAGCCGTCCGAGAAAAAGACGGTTGGAACAGAGACCAATTCTGCCAGTGCAACTGACACTTCAGCTTCGCCACCAAAAGTTGCGGCAACGGATCCAGCGGAGAGCGGAGATAGCCCACAGACGCCCGAAGCCGGAGAAAGCAAAGGTGCTCCGCCCGAAGCCGAGACCAGTCTAGTCGCTGCAGAGCCGAGCCTGCCAGAAACCGAGATGCTGATCGAACGCATCTACGAAGCCTGGCAAAAGAAGGTTGAGCTGGAACAGTCAGGCGTTGCTCAGAACAGTCCTCTGCAATGGAGTCGGTTGAAGCTTGCACTGCTGCGGGCTGAGTCGGCCCTGCTGGCGAACATGCCGCTTAAGGCTCAGACCATGCTTGATGTCACCATCCCAAAGATGTTTCAAGCTCTGGAAGCGTCATCGCACCCTTTCTTGAATGCAGATTGGTCGCTAGCATTCGCCGGCGAAGCGGACCCATCGAGTAAAGTTGCTGCACAACGCGGTGAGATTGAGAAGGCCATCACCCAACCAGACGCTGCAGCGGTGAACGAACTTCGGAACAGTAGCCTTATCGAAGCAAGCCTAGTCTACACCCTATCAGAGCGGTTGTTACTACACGGAACTTGGCGCGATCCGGCACTGGTTGAGTTGGCAGTTCAGGCTCGTTCCCTGGGTGTTCCAGTCGCACTCTACCAGCATCCCTATCTACTACGGTTCGTCAAAGACCAGCTTGAAGCGGCCGACATCGTTCGTCGTCGGGCCGAAGTCGATTTGATCACCGGTCGACTCGATCAGGCTGAGCAGGGTCTCCGCAGGGCCGAAACCCAGTATCGTGAAGTAGCGAAAGACCTGGAGGGCTACCTCGACCAGGTACTCAAGGTGAAACATTCGGCCATAGATGTTCCCGCCATGATCTCTTGGCTGGGAATGCATCCGGGTTGGGGCGTGAGGAAGAAACACGACCTGATTCTGATGAATGAGTTCATGAAGCGTCTGGCCGAATTCTGCAACAGTCCATCGCCAATGGCGCTGGCAACCGCTACTCACGCTGCTCAAGACATACGAGAACGGGGGATCTACTGTGCTGAAGATGCACTGCAGCCAGTGGATTGGATCAACACAAGGGCAGTGCTGAAGCTCACTTTTCTCGAGCCGGAAGTGCGTCGCCAGCTGCTTCTCGACCAGTATCCGGCGAGAGACTTTGAAGAGTTCAACATCGGATTCAGGCAAGACGGAAACACGGTTCGAAATCGACCTGCAAATCCCTTGCTGTTGGACGAGATGTTCACCATTATCTCCGGGGGTCGCATTAAATCGGTTCTTCTCGATCGTCTGAAACAACTTAGTCCGGTTCGCAGTGAGGGCTATGAAACATTCACAGACCTCCAAGAGCATGAGTCGATTAGGCAGGACCGCGCCTACGCCTCGGGTGAGGTTCGGTGCGTGGTCGAGGAATTGTGTTCCCAGTCCATCAATGAGTTCGCAGTCGATGGCTGGTGGAAGCAGTGGGCAAGCCTGCTGCTGCTCAGTGAATCTCGAGCCGATCGCTATCTCCAAGATGAACCTCGTGACTTGGCGATGGAGGAACTCATCCAAGTCGCGGAACTCGATCTCTTGAAATGGAACGTGAATCGCTTATACGAGGACAGCTTGGAACTGCCCGGCTACTGCTACGGCAACACGATTCAACGCATTTCCGAGTTCATAAAGCATTACGACAGGCAGTACACTGCCCCGGTTGAATCACGATACTTTGCATTGGCCAGTGACGTCACGCTGAGTATTCCTGCCGGTGAGCAAGTGATCGTTCCGCTGAGAATAACCGCATTGCAGGATCCTCCTCAGGATTCGAAGCCATTGTTAGTCCTGCAAAATGGTGGGCTGGGAACGCCGCTGCGGTTTGCAGTTGACGGACAGGAGGATGTAGCAGGACGAGTGACCCTGCCGCTTGATGCGAATCTCGTCGCGGGCCAAGTTCAGCGTGTGTGGTTGAAGGTGGCGGCTCCAGAGAACACAGAATCCCAACCCCCTCCATCCATTGCCGCGATGGTTGAACTCGCTGCCGGGCAGGTAGATTGGCTGCCCTTGCACATCCATATTCCCACGCCGCAGCCAAAGCCGGCGGAACTTTCGATCGAATGGGACGATCAGGCGGAACGGAATGGAAGAATTGATTTGTACCCGAATCAGTCGCTTCCCATCGATGTGGGAATCGTGAAGCATGCCCCCGAGGCACTCAATCTTCGGATCGAGCTTCTCGGTTCAGGAGCCCCGCAGTCGATTGACATTACCACGAAGGCCGACGAGACCGGCCGAGTAGTGGTACCGCCAATCACCGACATGGCTATACCGCTGGAGGAAACGCTGGTGGTACGTCTGTACAACGGTGCCACACTGCTGGACGAAAGAGAGATTGAATTGGCGGTCCTCGATCTCTTGCGATGTTTCGAGCGGCAGATCTACTTCGATCCACAAGCCGAGAAAGTGAACGTTACCGTTTCACGCATCCGCAATAGCGACGTGGTAACCCCTGTACCGGTGCAGATTCAGCTTTCTCCGACCCCGGCAATTCAGGGAACACTCACCGGGCAAATGCTGAGCGAGCAGCAAGAGATCACTCTCGACGCGATCGTGCCGCCGGAGATAGACGAGAATTTGCAGGTGCAACTAGGAGTGGCGGGAGTATCGCGAGTCTTTCGCGATCGGTTTGGGCTAGAGCACCTCGCTGGGGAACCCGACAACCAACTCGAACTACGACTCGCGGAACCCCAACCCGAGTCGAAGTACTTGTTTGCCGTGGCTGGGAGTCATATTCCCGTGAAAGCCTGCGTCGACGGTCCAGAGGAAATTGGCTTTCATATCGGCTTCGATTGGAATCATAACGGGCAGCTCGACGGCTCCGAGATCCAACAAGGTGGCATGTACTGGAGCGGAAAGTCGTCGGAATTGAATCTTGTAGCCACTGTGAAGCCGCCGGGTTATCAAATCGAATCTCACGTGTCTGATATCACACTCAACCTGAACACTTCGGGCGTCATCGGACATCAAACGATTTTGGCACGTGCAATGGCCAACTCGCAATCGAAGACGGTCGCCGTTCCCGTGTACGTACTCAAGACCGCCCCCGAGATTGAAATTTTGCAGCCAACTCAAGGCGAAGTCTTGGGCCTCGCCGAGTCAATTCGAGTGGTGGTTCAATCCGATTGGTCGATGACCGAAGCGGTAGATACGATCGAATTCGCCTTCGACAAGAATGGGAACGGCCAGATTGATAAAGGCGAGTCGGTGGCCCCGGTGGGATACAAGCCTGCCCAATCAGTTCAGTACGGTAAGTCGCATCGTCTGGAGGTCCACCTTCCTACAAAGGGGATCGAAGTCGGTCCGATGACCCTGCTAGCTCGCACGATTTCTGAAATCACAGAGCCTGCTCCAACGGCTCCGCCCTCCCCTTCTCCCGCAACCACCAGTGCTCCAGCCGCGAAAGATTCTGGGGCTGGGAAAACGGTGCTATTGACGGGAGATTTGGCCTCCCGGGGCATGGTGTTCACCACGACTGGCAAGATCGAAGGTCAAGTCGTCACTGCTGATGGTGTTCCGAGGAAGGGGGCTGTGGTGAAGCTTGAAGGTGCCGGTGAGGCAACTAGTGACGCAATGGGAAACTTTGCGTTCAACGACGTCTCTGCGGGTAGTCACAAGCTCACGGCTCAGACGAACCAGCGAAGTGGCACCGCCACCGCCGAGGTCGAGCCGGGCCAAACTGTGAACCTTAAGATAATGATTGCAGTTCAATGATTGTTTCGTACGAAACAACAGACGGTAGTTGATATTGTCATCAGTGATATCGTGCTGGCATCTGGCGGTATTGAGCGACCCTCCTCAGTCGCTCGGTATGCCTTCACGTTGATGCTTCGACTACCAGTTATCGAAGCACAGACTTGACGGTAGATGGGGCTACGCCCCTCGACCATTTCACTTGATCAGCCTCCCGGCCGAAATGCGTATGTCGGCTGAAAGCCATGCTCTCCTAACAGGGGGTCCTATTCAATGTCGGAAAGTGTCCAGCAGAAGCTCTCACGCGTTCGCAAGCCACGCGTGCACATCACTTACGAAGTGGAAACCGAAGGCGCTTCCGTCGTTAAGGAATTGCCCTTTGTCGTAGGCGTGGTTGCCGATCTCTCCGGTCAGCCCACCACACCTCTAAAACCGCTCCGCGAGCGGAAGTTCGTCCAAATCGACCGTGACAACTTCAACGACGTTATGGCCAAGATGACGCCTGGAGTCGAAGTTCGCGTCAAGAATGTGATGAGCGAAGAAGACTCCGAGATGGGTGTCCAATTGAAGTTCAACTCGATGGACGACTTTGAGCCCGGCGCGATTGTCGAACAAGTTGAATCGCTGAAGTCGCTCTTAGCTACCCGAAATCGCCTTCGCGACCTGTTGACGCGAGTCGATCGCTCCGAAGATTTGGAGCACATTTTAGAGCAAACACTTCAAGATGCAGACCGTATGACCGAACTTGCTTCAGCCCTTAGCTCCGGCGGTAACGGTAACGGAAATGGCAAAGATAAGGCAGCCAAAGGGAAAGCCAAAGGAGGCAAGAAATGATTTCTGAAGCCAAAGGTGACAACATGGCTGTCGAAGACATGCCTCTGTTAGATCGGGCCGTTATCGCGACTCGGCAAACCGAGCGTCCCTACGCCGAAGAGATGTTGCGCACGTTCACCGAACAGGCCAACGAAGGCAACTGCGAATGGAACAAATGCGTCACGCAAACGATCAAAGATACGATCGACAAACTCGACGCCGTTCTGTCCGAGCAGTTGGCCGCCATCATGCACGCTCCGGAGTTCCAGCAGATCGAAGGAACCTGGCGTGGACTGAACTACCTGGTCATGAACACGGAAACCAGCGCGACCTTGAAGATCAAGGTGCTCAATGTTTCCAAGAATGACCTTTACAAAGACCTCAACAAGGCCATCGAGTTCGATCAAAGCCAACTGTTCAAGAAGCTTTACGAGAACGAATTTGGTTCGCCTGGTGGTGAGCCTTTCGGTCTGCTGATTGGCGACTACGAGTTTTCCACTCACCCGGATGATATCGGGTTCCTGGAAAAGGTCTCCAACGTAGCGGCCGCGGCCTTCTGTCCCTTCATCAGTGCGGCATCTTCCAAGATGTTCGGCTTCCACGAATGGACCGAGTTGGCCAAGCCTCGCGACCTCGAGAAGATTTTCGAGTCGGTCGAATTTGTTCAATGGCGTTCGTTTCGCGATAGCGAAGATTCTCGATTCGTGGCCCTTACGCTACCTCGAGTGCTGTCGCGTCTGCCTTACGGATCGAACACCAAGCCGATCGAAGAGTTCAAGTTTGAAGAAGTCAAACTGAACAAGGAAGCCAAGTACGCTCTGCCGGTTGATCACTCGCACTATGCGTGGATGAATGCGGCCTGGGTGCTCGGCGTCCGCATGACCGACACTTTTGCCAAGTACGGCTGGTGCACCCGGATTCGCGGAGCGGAGAGCGGCGGTAAAGTCGAAGGACTTCCTGCCCACATCTTCCTCAGCGACGATGGCGACCTGGACATGAAGTGCCCGACCGAAATCGGGATCACTGACCGTCGCGAAGCCGAACTAAGCAAGTTGGGTTTCCTCCCGCTGTCGCACTACAAGAACACCGACTACGCGGTCTTCTTTGGTGGACAAACGGCACAGCGAGCCCTGAAGTACGATCGTCCGGCGGCCACGTCGAACGCCGCGATTTCAGCTCGGTTGCCCTATATCATGGCCACCTCGCGAATCGCCCACTACTTGAAGGTCATCGCCCGAGACAAAATTGGTTCGTTCATGGAACGGGCCGATTGCGAAACCTGGATGAAGCGATGGATCAGCAACTACGTGAGTGCCGATCCAAACGCCAGCGATGATGCCAAGGCCCGCTTCCCATTGGCCGAAGCTCAGATCGAGGTGAAGGAAGTTCCTGGAGCCCCCGGCTCCTATCAGGCCATCGCCTGGTTGCGACCTTTCTTGCAACTCGAAGAATTGACCACCTCGTTGCGTCTGGTCGCCTCGATTCCGACGCTGAGTGAATAATTTGAGTAAGCAAAATCAAGCGGCCTGCGGTCTTCACTGATCGCAGGCCGCTTGCTGCTTTGAATGCGACAAGGCAGTGCATTCCTATCGCAGCTGCATTTCATGGAAGATCTTTCCCCAAGGATGGGGGTGACAGAAAGCAGTGATGGGCGAACCGTCGAACCATGCGCACAGCGATTCGGGGCTGACCGATCGGCTTGCGGCAATTGCCGCCGACCCCGAGGATCTAATCAGTGAGCTGGCTGCGTTTCTTTCTGAAGAAGACCCTGTCCTAGCCCTTCAGGCTTGGCTAGGCTCATCGCGCTTTGCAGCTGGGCTCGAGGGCAAGGAAGCCGTCCTTCGCTGGCTTCATGCAGACATCGCTGCACTTGACGCGGTCTTGAATCGACTCGTAAATGCCATTCTGCACAACGAACGATTCCAGCGACTCGAGGCTACGTGGCAAGGACTACGATACCTTGTAACACAAAGCCCGCCCAACTCGGGTGTTAAGATTCGCGTCCTGAACGCGTCGTGGAGTGACTTATCTCGCGACGCACAACGGGCGATCGAATTCGACCAGTCACAGTTGTTCCGCAAGGTGTATGAAGAAGAGTTTGGCACCCCCGGCGGACAGCCGTTCGGTCTGCTGCTGTGCGATCATGCCATCCAGCATCGAGTGACGGCCAAGTACTCGACCGACGACCTTCGGGTTGTGAAGTATCTCAGCGAGGTTGCCGCCGCTGCGTTCGCTCCTGTAGTGACCTCGGTAGCCCCCGAACTCTTTGGCGTCGATCGCTTTGCAGAGTTGGACCGGCCCGTCGACTTGCAGAAGATCTTCGCTCAGACCGAATACCGGGCATGGAGAAACCTCAGGAAAGAGGAAGACTCGCGTTTCGTCGCCATGACCATGCCCCGGGTTCTCATGCGACGCCCCTATCAACGATGTACGTCGCGAACTGATGGATTCATGTTCGATGAAGACGTACGCAACCCCGACGGTCGTAACTATCTGTGGGGCAACTCGGTTTACGCCTATGGCAGTGTAGTCATGCGAGCGTTTGCCCAGTCGGGGTGGTTTGAAGACATCATCGGTGTCACCGGAGAGGGCAATCGTGGGGGGCTCGTCACCGAGCTGACTGTCGATTCATTCGAGACCGACCGCAAAGATACCGTCACGAAGATGCTCACCGACGTCGTCATCAGTGACGAGAGCGAACGTGACTTTTCCGCAGCCGGATTTATTTCGTTGTGCAATTGCCGGCATACACAGGCGGCAGCCTTTTATAGCAGCCAGTCAATTCAGCGATCGGCCGTTTACGACCGGCCGGGGCCAACGCGAAACGCTCAACTCTCGACCAAGCTCAACCTGATGCTTTGTGTGTCGCGATTCGCTCACTACATCAAGATCATCGGGCGAGAGCACCTTGGGTCGTTTGCCTCGGCTGAGAAACTGGAAACCTACCTCCACAAGTGGATTCACCAGTACGTTTCGGCTGATATCAACGCTCCGCCAAACGTGCGGCTTAAGTTTCCACTGCGTAGTGCGAAGGTGCAGGTCCGCACCATGGATGCCAAACCGGGCACTTTTATCTGCACGGTTCATCTTCAGCCGCACCTCCAGGGAGATTCATCGAGTTCGTCGGTGAAGTTTGTCACCAAGTTAACCGCCGCTCGCCAACGTGCACTCGAGTTAGCCGCCTGACCACGGCAAGAAGATTGAACATGTTCGACCAACAAGAGCCATCATTGTCGTTTTGGGATCGCCTGATGGAGGATGCGCCCGAGAGCGCGCCGGGCAACCCATTTGCTCGTCGCGAAAGCGTGGAGTTCTCACGAACTTCGATCTTGGTCGACCTGGAAAAACTGTTAAATACCCGCCCTAGGGCTCTCCCGGGAGCTGAGCGGTACCCCGAACTCGAGCAATCGATACTCGCATATGGCTTGAAGGATTTCTCCGGGAGTGATTTGGCATCGACCAAAGAGCTAGAAGAATTGCGCGTTGAGATCGAACGGACCATTTCTAGGTTCGAACCACGCCTTCGAGAGGTGTCGGTCCAGTTACTGCCACACGAGAATGAGGTTGATCCCTGGGTGCGTTTCGCAATTCAAGCGATGCTGCCCGAGGAGTTGGAACCAGTTTACGTGCATGCCGACCTGACCACCGTGACTGGGCAGTTCAGGCTCATGGAGGGGACATCATGACCGAAGACCTGCTTCCTTACTACAGCAGCGAGTTGGCGTATCTTCGCAAGCAGGGAGACGACTTTGGTCGGGCGTACCCGAAGATCGCCCGACGGTTGCGATTGAACTCACCAGGTGCTGAAGACCCTCACGTTACCCGGTTGATGGAAGGGTTTGCCTTTCTCACTGCCCGAATTAGTAAGAAGCTGGACGATGACTTCCCAGAGATCGCAGAGTCGTTCCTAAACGTTCTGGCCCCACAATATCTGGCCCCCATTCCCTCAATGTCGATTGCCCAGTTTCATCTGGACAAGTCGGTGGGCAAGCTGACCACTGCCTACACCGTGCCGCGTCATTCGATGCTGGAAAGCGAGCCAGTCGGCGGCGAGAAGTGTTTGTTCCGGACGTGCTATCCGGTCACGCTATGGCCGCTCAATTTGACACAAGCCGGAATGAATGGCCCTCCATTTGCTGCACCAGAGATCGCCACAATATCATCCGTTGAAAGCGTGCTGCATCTTCAGTTCCGCTGTGCCAACAAGCAACTCCCGATCGGGCAATTGGGCGTCGACTCGCTTCGCTTCTATCTTTCTGGCCAAAGACAATTCGCGCACGAGTTGTACGAACTAATCTTCAACAACGTGACTGCGGTTGCTGTGGCTGATGGGAGTCGCGACGCATCACCTTACCTGCTTGGCCCTGAGTGCTTACAGCCGGTTGGTTTTGAGAAAGAAGAATCGCTGTTTCCGCACAATCCCCGAACTGCTCGGGGCTATCAGCTACTTGCCGAGTACTTCGCCTTTCCCGAAAAGTTTTTATTCGTCGATCTGACGGGACTCGAGAAGGTGTTGGAAGGACGCGAAGGTCAGACTTTCGATCTATATATCTACTTCAATGGCGGATCGAAAGAGCTACAGCAGTATGTGTCGGCCAGCACGTTTCGGTTGGGTTGTACGCCAATTGTCAATCTGTTTCAGCAGACTGCCGAGCCTATTAACTTGGGTCACGAGAAATCGGAATACCAGGTTGTACCCGACGCGCGGCGCACGAACTCAATGGAGATCTACTCAATCGATCGGGTGTCGACCACCGATGGCGACGGGCATTCGACTGAGTACGCTCCTCTATATTCGATTCGCCACGCCTCAGGAGACAGTGCGAACAACACATTCTGGTTCGGCACACGAAAGCGCGGTGTCAGGCGAGAAGGGGTCGAGGACTCTGGAACCGACATGCACCTGTCGTTTGTTGATTTAGAGTTCAACCCAGCGACGGCCACCGATTCAGTGGCTAAGGTCGAGACAACTTGTCTGAATCGTGACTTGCCCGGTCGACTTCCCTTTGGTGGCGAATCGCCCGGGTTCCGGCTTCAGGCGGGAGGACCTTTTTCGAAGATAGAATGCCTTACTGCTCCCACCCCCACGGTGCGTCCACGTCTTCGCAAGGCCGCTGTATGGCGGTTGATTTCTTCGCTCTCCCTTAATCATCTTTCCATCACATGCGGCAGCGAGGGAGCAACGGCGCTGCAAGAACTGCTGAGGGTGTACGACTTCCAAGAGTCGATCGATAACCCTTTCCCTTATGAGGGAATTCTCAGTGTGAATAGTCGCCGCGTCGTAGGGCGCATCAACGCGTTTCGCAACTTAGATCGCATCGACCCTACGGCGGGAGTTGAGCCGGGCTTTTGCAGCGGCTTAGAGATCACGGTCGAGCTAGACGAAGAGCGTTTTGTGGGAGCCGGCATGTTCCTGTTTGCCACCGTGCTTGAGCGTTTCGTTGGATTGTATAGCAGTATTAACTCGTTCTCGAAGCTGGTTCTGGTTACGAAACAGCGTAAGGAATTACGACGATGGTCACCCAGGGTAGGCTCGAAGACACTGCACTGATCCAGCGCCTGTTCGACGAAGGCTACCGCTTCGATTTCTTTCAGGCGGTTCGCGTCCTCGAACATTATCGCCGCAATCGGGTCGAAGCTGCGCACGCGGATGCCGAGGCAGAAGATGGCGGCTCGCCCAGCAGTCCGGTGGTTGGTGCTGAAGCGGTCCGATTTCGCAGCACGCCGGGGCTGCAGTTCCCAGCGGGGCCGATTCATCGAATCGACGCCGCAGAGAAGTCTGAGGACCGCGACCAAACTTCGGCGGTGCCCCAAGTATTCGTGACTATGATGGGGCTCACCGGCCCCAGTGGTGTGTTGCCCGAGCACTACACCCAACTGCTTGCCCAACGGGCCCGGTACGGCGACCGAGTCCTCAGCGAATTCTTGGAACTCTTCCACCATCGTCTGGTGACCTTATTTCACGAGGCATGGCGGAAGTACCGGTTGCCGATGAGCTACGAGTTGGCTCATTCCGCAGGGGATCGGGAAGACCTCTTTACTACATGCTTGCTTAGTCTTGTTGGAATGGGAACGCCGCACGAGCGGAACCGACTCGATTTCCCAGACGAGGCCGTGCTCAACTACGCTGGCCATTTTGCTAACGCTGCTCGCTCTGCTAGCAGCCTAGAGGATGTGCTGACCGACTTTTTTAGTTTTTCCATCGAAGTCAAACAATTTCAAGGTCGTTGGCTCTATCTGGATGACGATGATCATTCACGGGTGGGAGGACTGCAATCTTCCCACGACGACCATGCCGTATTGGGCGTCGACTTTGTCGCGGGCGGTCGCGTCTGGGATGTGCAAGGCAAGCTGCGTCTGCGGCTTGGCCCCTTGGACTATTCCCAGTTTTGTCGACTGCTGCCGGGCGGAGTGGACTGTCGTGCTCTGGAACAGATGACGCGTTTGTACATCGGCCCAGAATTCGACTTCGATGTCCAGCCGGTGTTGTTGAAAGACGAGATCCCGCGACTGCAACTAAACAGCGAAACATCGCAGCCTGCTCGCTTAGGTTGGAATACATGGCTCGTCAGTGAGCAACCCGATGCCGACGCGGAGGATGTGATCTTCAAACTGGATACAAACTAATCGTTTAACTCGCTCCGCCCGAGTTTGCTGAGCGAACTAACCGAGTCGATGCCTGCGGATCCATGTGGGGCAATCGGACGGAGCAGATTAATTCAAACAGATTCGTTCTTAGGATTTAGGAGAGCTTACTATGCCCTTTGATTGCTTTCTGACCCTCGACGGCATCGACGGTGAGTCGACGGACGCGAACCACACCAACGCGATTGAACTGCTTTCGTTCTCCTTTGGTGCCACGCAAGCGGTTGGCTCGAGTGCCAGCACCGGTGGTGCTCGTTCCGGCGAACGTGTTGCCTTGCAAGACTTTTCCATCACCAAGGTGTTGGACAAAGCTTCGCCGAAGATCTTCCTGAACTGCTGCAATGGTACGCACATCTCGACAGTGACCATTGACGTTTGCCGGGCGACTGGTTCGAAAGAAACGTACATGACTTACGAGATGGAAGACGTGCTCATCACCAGCTACCACCCCAGCGGAGCCTCGGGCGGTGAACTGCCGATTGAGTCGGTTACCTTCAACCCGGCCAAGATCACGTTGACCTACACCGTCACCGATCACGATACGGGCGACTCAAGCGGTAACGTCACTGCCAACTGGAGCCAGGAAACCAACTCCGGCTCGTAGTGTGAAGCCGCGTGAATACATGACTTGTCAACGTGGCGGAGACTCTTTCCGCCACGTTGCGGGTCTCAAAACCAGAGGCATCGATGGCCGAACCGACCTGCGAAAAGTGTGGCAAGCAAAGCTTCGAATCGCAGTACCTCGATTCTGCCAAAATGATTCTCGCGTTTTGCGGCGAGTGTGGGCACGTGGTGGGGGCGATCCCCGACTACCAGACGCTCGCCAATGCGGTGGTGGTCAACCTGACCCGCGGCTGTCGAAACGGCACGGGGCACCCCGTGCTGCACATCAAAGAAGCAGACAACATATTCGGTTAAAAAGCCGTCGTGCTACTTAGACGGTAAATAATTACATCCGGGCTCGTACTCAATACCGGTCGTTCGATCGTCACGAGACACGGAAACTAACCGACGTGACGGGAGGTCCAAGAACATGGGATTTCAAGTTGTCTCGGGAGCGGTGATCGAGTGCACCCTTGGCTCTGCTCCAACGGCGCTGATCGTAACGCCTTCGAACATGGTCGATGCCGGCTCACTGGTCGCGGCCACTATCGAAGACTTTGAGTCGATCACGAACATTCCGACGTTCGGAACCTGCGACTCGACGTTAAGTGCTTGTGTGCCTGCCACCACGCCTTGGACCCCTGGAAGCGCGAATGTGACGATTGGGAACCAGGCGGCCCTGGATGATTCATCCACCTGCCAATGCTCGCTAGGTGGCACGATCTCCGTTACCAGCGCGGGGCAAACGACGGTTCAGATATCTTGACCTGCGCCCTGCCGTAGGCCTTCTCCCACAAAGATAGCGTTCGATCTATGTCGACTTCGGCTACCCAATCGAATCGCGCGATCTCGATCTCAACTACCCTTGGTACCGACAAGCTGCTGCTGGCCGGGTTCGAAGGGACCGAGGCTCTTTCACAGCTCTTTCAGTTCAACCTGGAAATGTGGTCGGACGACGACTCCATCGATGCCACCGACATTGTGGGCAAGACCGTCACGGTCACGATGGACACGGATCAGACCTCAACTCGGTATTTCAATGGCTATGTGAGCCAGTTCTCGGCCGGAATTCGCCGTGATGATCTCCGTGAGTATCGGGCCGTCGTCGTACCCTGGCTGTGGTTTCTTACCAGAACCACAAACTGCCAGATCTTTCAAAGTATGACGGTTCCCCAGATCGTGGAGTCGGTTTTTAGCTCGTTCAGCTTTTCAGACTACACGACTTCGGGAATCAGCGGCTCGCATCCCGAGCTAGACTATGTGGTTCAGTACAACGAGACGGCGTTCAACTTTGTCTCACGCCTGCTGGAGCGGGAAGGCATCTTCTACTACTTCACGCATGAAGATGGCAAGCACACGCTGAATTTGGCCGATAGTACGTCGGTTTTTGAAGACGGCGATCCGTCGACCATCGAATACACTTACTCCAGCGGTGCACGCAATCATGTGAATCGCATCACCGATTGGCGGCACCACTACGAGTACCGCTCAGGATCCTGGGCATCGACGGACTACAACTTCGTCGACTTTCCAGCTCGATCGACTACCACGCCTGCGGATAACTTGCTGAACTCTCAGGACACAGTCCTGAGTTACGACAGTATCTCCTCGTACGAGAAATTCGAATACCCGGGCGGATTTCAGACGACCTCCGACGGGTCGACGTACGCCCAGACTCGTATCCAGGAAGATGAACTTCCAGGACACGTTGTTTTCGGTTCCAGCCAGGTACATACCCTAGCCACCGCAAACAAGTTCACCATTTCTGGCCATGATTGTGACGGCGAAGATGGGCAGACTTATGTGGTGAAGTCGGTGATACATCATGCCTATGTGAGCGCGCCCTACCGGATGACTACGGCCAATGGGGGAAAGCAAGGCGACTATCACAACGAATTCACTTGTATCCCCGATGGGACGACCTACCGTCCTCCCCGCTCGACACCGATTCCCAAAATTTACGGCTCCCAAACCGCGGTGGTCGATGGACCCGATGGTGAAGAGATCTGGCCCGACTCGTACGGACGGGTCAAGGTGCAGTTTCATTGGGACCGAGTAGGGGTTCGCGATGAAAACACCAGTTGCTGGATTCGCTGCTCGCAGTCGATGGCCGGAAAGAACTGGGGATCGATGTTCATTCCCCGCATTGGCCAGGAAGTGGTGGTGACATTCCTCGACGGCAATCCCGACCGCCCCCTAATCACCGGCCTGGTGTACAACGCGAATCAAATGCCTGCGTATACGCTGCCCGACGAAAAGACCAAAAGCTACATCAAAACCAACAGCAGCACCGGCGGCGATGGGTACAACGAGATCCGGTTTGAGGACCTGGCCGGTAGCGAGCAGATTTTCATCCACGCACAGCGGAACATGGATGAGCGAGTCGGCAACGACATGATGGAGCAAATCTACAACAACCGCCATTTGATCGTGGGCGACGACGACAATAGCGACGGTGGCAACCAATACGAGAAGATTTACGCCAACAAAGAACTCCACGTGCTCGGTGACCAGACAGAACAGATCGAAGGCAATCTTACGCTCACCATCGGCAATGGCGACGATGATGACGGCGGCAGCGTCAATCTTTACATCGCCGCCGACAAGACCGAGCAGATCGCTGGCGACAACGACTACACTTGTGCGGGCGATCTGCAGCAGAGCATTGATGGTGATCACTCGCTCACCGTTGGCGGCGACCGAAACACAAAAGTGACTGGCAGCGACTCGCTAGAGTCAGAAGCGAACTTTCAGCATAAGGCGAGCAAGAACGTCTCGCTTGATGTCGGCAGCAGCTACTATCTGTCAGCCGGCAGTGACGTCGTGATTGAGGCCTCCTCCAGCCTGACACTCAAGGTTGGTGGCAACTATGTTGTCATTGATAGCTCTGGTGTCTCGGTGGTTGGCTCGATGGTGAACCTCAACAGCGGCGGCTCGGCTGGTTCGACCAGCATTACCTCGCCGAGTACGCCAGGGTCTCCAAGCGAAGCGGCCCAGGCCTGCCCCACCGATCCTACAGAGGCCGACGATTCGGAGACGGGTTCGATTTCGGCTCCCTAAAACTAGCTGGCATGCTGTCAATCTGTAACTACTGCGATTCCTGTGACGATTCACCGGCCTCGCTTCCGATAATAGAGAAGTGCTGTAGTCGGTTCTGGTAAGGCGTTGCAGGGCCGGTCCATAGGCAAACAAGCTCATCAATCGTCGATCATTGCTGTCCATTTTCGCGACACTCGATTCCGCCACTTCTCTGCGGAATCTCATATCGATCGCAGGAGAATATCATGGCTTCCCCAGTACAGCGTCTGGAGTCTGCCCAGGTGGGGATGAAGTTTGCATGGGCTGCCGGCCAAGGAATGCAATTAGACCGGCCGAACTTGATTCTCAAGCCAAGGTACACGTTGTTCGAAGCGCAGATCGACGAGCTGATCGGGAAAGGACTCATCGGCCAAAGAAAGCTTCTGCAGTACTGCAGAAACTTGCGATCCGCGGTGCGTATCTCTTCGCTCGCCGATCCTGGCATCAAGAAGCGCGACACGATCATCGAGAAGATTAGGACGCGTGGTAAGAGAATCGAGCAGATGAACGACGTCTCGCGAGCGTCGGTTACGTTCCAGCACTTGGAAGAACTTTACGCCGCAGACGCCTGGGTGCGTGAGACCCCCGAGTTTCGAAAGACCACTGCTTTGGGCACCGCGGTTAAGAATCGCTGGACCCAAATGACTTCCGACGGAGAATATCGGGACATCAAGTTCTTTCTAGTATTTCCGATTGAGAAATCAGCATTTCCCTGGGTTGTCGAACTCCAGCTCAACCTGACGATAGCCGCGAAGGTGAAAAGCATCGGCCACGGCATCTACGAGATCACCCGGCTGGGAGACAACCTTCCCGAAAACTCGGCCATTATTGTTCCCGAGGATAAGGTGATGCGAATCACCAAAAAACTCCGTACTTGCTACGTGAATTTGAAAAAGACGGGCATCGACCCCGGATTGCTGGAAGAATTTCGTCTGTTCATCTATCGTCATTTTGGCGATGCCATGCAGAACCTAGAGAACAAAAACTATCGACCGGCCGGAGCGACCATCTCTCCCAGCGAACGCGTGATGCTCGGCAAAGTATCCCAAGCCATCTACACCTATTCTTTCCGCATCTCTAATAATGCGGTGGCTTATAAAGATGGCGGAATGCAAAAGCTCATCAAGCCGGGTGAACTGATGGAGATGGACGAGGAAGATCGCTACGCAGCCTAATCAATCGATCGTCTCGTTAACGGTACGAACTGGCTCCGAGCACGTCGGTGAGAATGCACCACCTTGGCGAAGACTTTTCGGCGGTTCTGCCTTCGATCCAGTGATTGTACAGGGCCTGGATCGTGCCATCCTTCCGCTTCAAATCGATCCAGCGGCTGACGACATTCTCTAGCCGCAACGCAGTCGCCGGCATTGGGTAACCGACACTTACGGTTAGCTGCGCGTCTTCTGGCACTACCACGCTGTACTTGGGATGCAGCAGTGTCCACGCACTCCCCGCCTCGGCGCTCATTACCAAGGCATCGAAATCATGCGACTGCTCGAAGAACTTGCGAGGCGAGTCCAGCAGGACGATCTCCGCACTTGGCACAGCTTGTTCGAGTCGCGTTCCAAAGTATGGACGTTCAAGAACTCCAATTCGCAATTGCTCTAATCGCCGGAGTTGCGACAGATTAGAGAACTCGTCTTTGCGGTGGTCTGCCACGATGAAGGCCAAGTGCAAATCGAGATAGGGCTCGCTGAACCGCATCGATTCCAATCGCCTGGGGGTGGCGAAGAGACCGCCGACCAGCAGGTCGTAGCGGCGATGTCCGTTCAGATCCTTTGCCATCTCGCGCTTGTCATAAGGGAAATACGCGATTTCAACGCCCAACTCATCGGCTAATGCTTGGGTCATCTCGATATCGAATCCCACCAGTTCATTCTTTGAATTAAAGAAGCTGAACGGCAGGCCCTGCGGATCGTATCCTACGGTCAGCACGCCGCGTTGGCGTATCGCCTGTAAGGGAGACGTGTCTTTAGGGTATTCCAGCGGCGGAGGAATCTCGCGGTGAACCTCTCCCTCGATCGCGTACTCGATTGACTGCATTGCCCCGAGGACCTTGTCCTTCGAGTATGCTTGGTCCACGGTGGAACTGAGTGTCATGCGGGTGATTCCCAGGCTCAGCAGCAACACGGCTGCGGAGGTTCCGGCATAAAGGGTCAACCGAGGGAGTCGAAACTTCAGCCAGCCCGCGTTCCCCGCTCCGCAAAGAACTGCAATGGCGGCCAAATGCATCACGGCCAACAGTGTAGCCAGGCGTCCGATGTACACCAGCGTCACTACGTGCAACTGAAACATATCGGTGGGGATGCGAAGTTGCTGCAACACGAACGGCAAGCCGATTTCGACACTTCCGAAGAAGCTAAAGAATCGCAATAGGCATAGCTTGGGGAACTGGCTCCATTCAACCGGGTTCCCCGTGAACCATCCGGCGAAGGGGATGAACAACAGCAGCAGTACGACGCCCAAGTTCGGGAACGTGAATGCAATGGGTAATGCCACGTCGACCACAGAATCAGCGTGTCTGCTCTTCTCGTCGTGCTCTTTGAACATTGCCTTACAGTTGTCGGCCAACATGGCCAGCACCACCAAGAGGTTTCCGGTCGTAAATCCCGTGACCAATGGATCTCGGGTGGCATTCAAGACTTCACGGTAAGTAAACGGCGTGAGCGCAACGACCAGCATAGGAACCAACTAAAACGTGAGCAGTATCGCCCCCAGGGTGTAGGCCACCAAGTAGACTTGTAGCCGACTCAGGTCCGAGAGCGTCATTGTGCCTGCCGCACTGGCCGCCAAGGCGAAGACCCCAATCGGTGTAAGCTTCACGACAAACCCAGTAATACGTCCCAGTGCATTTGCTAAGGCATCCAGCACGACAAGCAACTGCTGTTTATTCGGTACACCGATCAATGCAATGCCGGTGGCCATACCAAACACGACAACGCCAGGAATCACTGCTTCGGACAAGCTACTGAATGGGTTGGCCGGAATATACAACTCGACGAAATCGACCTTATCCGCAGGTTCGACGATGTTCACGCTGAAGAAGCTGGCCGATTCAAGGGCGGGAAAGGTCATCGGAAGCACCACCACTAACACGATGGCAATCGACCAGAGCAAGACAGAGAAGAGAGCGAGCCGCACGCCCATCAGTTTCGCCTCATCGTAAGTGAGGCGACCGAATCCCAGCGGCAGTGCGACAATGAAATACGGCAGCACCGCCATTTGCAGCAAACGGATGAAGCCTGTGCCGATGGGATTCAAGACCTCGGTGCGTTCACCGAAAAAAATCCCAACGGCCACCCCCAACACGAGCCCAATCAGAATCATCGAAGTCAGGCTGATCTTTCGCATCGTTCCACCAATGAACTCTACACGTGGTTGTCCGTCCTGGCCCTGCTATCACTCCGCCTGACAGTGCGAGCCAAGTGGTACAGGGCAACGGACGTGCCACTCTGCAAATTCGAGAGTCTGGAAACCTCTAAGTGACAGGTATCCATTGAGTTGCGAAACTCATCCAGTAAACAGCCAAGTACTGAGATGTTGTGCCTCCCGGTCCACTGCCCACGAATTAAGCAGTGTTGCTCATCTAAGTCTGGACACTAGATTCATTCCCTAACTCAATTGGTCGGGTTCTCTCACTTGACGATCAAGCAAGCCAAATCAGCCACGAATTCCGGTGAGAGGTAGCCCGAAACAGCCGTCAATATTCTGTTGTCCATCCCCGCGGTTGGAGTGGTAGCAAGGTATGTTTACGCAGGGATAGGCGGTCCGATATTCTGTAAATCAAAATCTCCACAGGTCTTAGAAGATATATCCGATGACCGACCCTAAATTAATGGCCCCAGGCGCTCCCGGGATTCTTCCACGCTGGACCTCCAGCGCGAAGGATGGGGTTGGGACCGCACTTGGCCCGGGCAGCCGTGTTTGGTTTACGCATAGTCACGGCATTTTGAACGAAGTGTATTCGCCGCGGATCGATCAGGCTTGCATTCGCGACCTGGGTCTGATTGTCACCGATGGTCAGAAGTTCTTTTCCGAGGAGAAGCGGCATACCAATACGCAGGTTGAACGCCTCGCTCCGGGAGTTCCAGCCTATCGACTCATCAATCAATGCAAACAAGATCGCTACGTGATCGAGAAAGAGATTTTCGCCGATCCAACGCGTGACACGGTCTTGCAACGCATCGTGTTCCAAGCCAACGCATCAGCCGATGCATCGCCCTACAGACTCTATGCACTGCTGGCCCCGCACCTGAAGAATAATGGCTCGGACAACACGGCCTGGGTCGGTGACTACAAAGGCCATCCTGTGCTGTTCGCAGAGCGTGATGGAACCGCCCTGGCTTTGGCGTGTTCGGCCGGCTGGTTGAATCGGTCGGTTGGCTACGTCGGCTCTTCCGATAGTTGGCAGGATTTGTCTCGCAACAAGAGGATGACCTGGTTCTATGAGCGCGCAGGGGAAGGGAACGTTGCGCTGACCGGTGAAATCCCGCTGGTGGGGGCAACGCCGCTGACCATGGCACTTGGTTTCGGCCGCAATGGATCCGAAGCAGCCCTGCGAGCCATCAGCTCTCTGGAAGATGACTATGAGGAACTCCGGCAACAATATGTCGATGAATGGACCGAGTGGCTCGATGCACAATCGCCACTTCACGAAGTTTGCCCCATCGACGATCGAGAAGCCTGCGTCGATCGCTTTCGCATCAGCGCCTCGGTGATTCGCTCGCACGAAGGGAAGGAAATCCCGGGAGCGATCATCGCCAGTCTTTCGATACCTTGGGGATTCTCAAAAGGCGATGATGACCTCGGCGGTTATCACCTCACGTGGCCTCGCGACTTGGCTGAAACTGCCGGATCGCTAGTTGCTCTTGGGGCCCACGGCGACGCGCGGCGAGTGTTGCACTACCTGCAATCGACACAAGAGCCCGACGGGCATTGGGCCCAAAACATGTGGCTCGATGGGCGCCCCTATTGGACCGGCACTCAAATGGACGAAACTGCTCTACCGATCTTGCTGGTCGATTTAGCGCGACGGGAGGGGGCACTCGATGACCACGAGCTGAAGCGGTTCTGGCCAATGATTCGTTCGGCTGCCTCGTTCCTGGTCTGCAACGGGCCTGTCACGCAGCAAGATCGCTGGGAAGAAGATCCCGGCTATTCCGCGTTTACATTGGCAGCCGAAATAAGCGCCCTGCTAGCAGCAGCCGAAATTGCAGAGTCGCTCGGCTGTGACGAAAGCCAAACCGAGACAGGGATCGACTGCAACTTTCTGCGCGATACGGCCGACAGTTGGCACAGCAATCTCGATCGCTGGATTTACGCCACCGACACCGACTTGGCCCGTGAGGTTGGCGTCGAAGGATACTACGTAAGGATCACCCCGCCCGAGACGAGCGATGCCCCGACGCCGATGGAAGGCTTTGTCGCCATCAAGAACCGTCCGCCGGAACTGACCAACATGCCAGCGGCCAGCATCGTCAGCCCCGATGCCTTGGCCCTGGTTCGCTTCGGGCTTAGGGCAGCAGATGATCCGCGGATGGTGAATACGGTCAAAGTGATTGATCATTTACTACGAGTTGAACTCCCACAAGGGCCTTGCTGGTATCGCTACAACGATGATGGATACGGCGAGCAGGAAGATGGTGGTCCATTCAACGGCACCGGAGTTGGTCGGGCTTGGCCCTTACTGACTGGCGAGCGAGCCCACTATGAGTTGGCTGCTGGCAACATCGAGGAAGCCGAAAAGCTTCTGAATACCTTCACGAACTTTGCCAGCGATAGCGGATTGCTTCCCGAGCAAGTCTGGGACGACCACGATCTCCCCCAACACGAGCTCTTTCGCGGGCATCCCACGGGATCGGCAATGCCGCTGGTTTGGGCCCATGCGGAATACATCAAGCTGCTACGCTCCCTGCGCGATGGTCAGGTGTTCGATATGCCACCCCAGGGAGTGCAACGGTATCTAGTCGAGAACACAAAGTCGCCCCACCACCCGTGGCGGTTTAACCACAAGTGTCGCAGTCTGCCGCAAGGTAAATTGTTGCGATTGGAAGCACTCGAGCCTGCTGTTGTACACTGGTGCGCGAACGGTACAGAAAACCAATCTTCCACCATCGACTCGGGACTTGGCATCCACTTCGTAGATCTTCCGACGGGCGAGCTGCCAGTTGGTCAACGGATCGACTTTCGCTGGTTCTGGACCGATCGCAACGAGTGGGAAGATGAAGAATTCTCTGTTGAGGTTAGCTGATCGTTATCCAGGGCAGACTAACCTTCTACCTGCACACTGCTTTGAGAACAGAGCCTGTTTAGCTGATTGGATGTGGCTGTGAATATTTTGTCCATCGATGTCGGCGGTACCCACGTTAAATTCGAAGTCTCGGGAAGCGACACACGGCGTGAATTCGCTTCCGGTCCCACGTTGACAGCGCAACAGATGGTCGACGGCGTCCTGGATCAAACCAGCGATTGGACGTATGACGTCATTTCTATCGGTGTGCCAGCCCCCGTGATTCATGGGAAGCTCGTCCACGAACCGCACAACCTCGGAACGGGTTGGGTCGGGTTCGATTTTCAGGCAGCACTCGGCAAACCCACCAAACTGGTGAACGATGCGGCCATGCAGGCCCTGGGCGATTACGAAGGAGGCCGAATGTTGTTTCTTGGCCTCGGCACCGGTCTTGGTTCGGCCATGATTGTCGACGGAATCGTCGAACCGCTCGAACTAGCTCATTTGCCCTATAAAAAGAAGAAATCTTTTGAAGACTACGTCGGCATTCACGGCTTGGAACGTCTTGGCAAGAAGAAGTGGCGCAAAGAGGTTTACGAGGTAATCGAAGCGCTTAAAGCCGCGTTGGAAGTCGATTATGTTGTTGTCGGCGGTGGGAACGCGGCCCGATTGGAGGAGTTACCTCCGGATACCCGAATCTGTCCAAATGCCAACGCGTTCCTTGGTGGGTATCGCCTTTGGGAGCCTAAGTACGAGGCGTCTGGTAGCTAAGGTCAGGATCAATCAACGAAGGATACAACGGAATGAACACCGGCGAACTCTCTCCCGATGGAAAACCCCCCGGCCCGTGCGCGATGGTGATCTTCGGGGCCACCGGCGACTTGACGAAGCGATTGCTTGTGCCGGCAATTTACAACCTGGCCCAGGCCAAGTTATTACCGGAGAACTTCGCCATCATCGGTGTGGCACACCGTCCTTATTCCAGCGAAGAATTTGCTGAGAAGCTGAAAGAGGATGTAAAAGCCACGGCCGCTCATCCTATCGATGATGAGAAGTGGGATCAGGCATTCAAGGGTCGCATCTTCTACACCTCCGGCGATCTGGATGACTCAGCCACCTATGCCACTCTAGCTACCCAACTCAAACAAATTGACGAAGAACTTGGCACAGCAGGTAATCACCTGTTTTACCTGGCGACGCCGCCGACGCTTTTCGAGCCAATCGTGGGTCATCTTGCCGAGGCCGATCTGACCGACGAGAGCGATTCGCCTGCAAACTGGAAGCGGGTTGTTATCGAAAAGCCATTCGGACACGATCTCGATTCGGCCCGCGCGCTGAATCACGTCATTACATCGAAGCTCGACGAGAGCCAGATCTACCGCATCGATCATTACCTTGGCAAGCAAACCGTGCAGAACATTATGGTGTTCCGCTTTGCCAATGGGATCTTCGAGCCGATCTGGAACCGTCGCTACATTGACAATGTCCAGATCACGGTTGCGGAAACGGTTGGCGTCGAACATCGCGGACCCTACTACGATCGCGCCGGCGCCTTACGAGATATGCTGCCTAACCATCTCTTTCAAATCTTGGCGCTCATAGCCATGGAGTCGCCCTATTCGTTCGAAGCCGATGCGGTTCGCGATGAAAAGGTCAAGCTTCTAAAGGCCCTTCGCCCAATTCGGGCCGAGGAAGTCTTCGCCAACGCAGTCCGCGGGCAATACGACTCCGGAGTTGTGGACGGGGAACCGGTGGTTGCGTATCGAAAGGCTCCCCGGGTCCCACCGGATTCGAACACGGAAACCTTCGTGGCATTAAAGTTTGCAATCGACAACTGGCGATGGGCAGACGTGCCGTTCTACCTTCGCACCGGAAAGTCTCTTGCAAGACACGTGAGCGAGGTAGTGATTCAATTCAAACAAGCCCCATTTCTTCCCTTTCGTGAAACTGCTATCCAGCACTTGCGGCCCAACAGTCTGGTGCTTCGTATTCAGCCTGATGAAGGGATTGCACTTACCTTTGAGGCGAAACGGCCCGGGATCGAGGTTAAGACTGACACCGTGGAGATGGACTTCTGCTACGCCGAGTATTTCCAGCAGACGCCGTTTATCGGCTACGAAACACTCTTGTTCGACTGCATGCGGGGCGATCAAACACTCTTCCAACGCGCCGACTTTGTCGAAGCCGGCTGGAATGCGATTACTCCCATTCTCGATGTGTGGTCGAATTTGCCTGCCCGAACCTTTCCAAACTACACGGCTGGAAGTTGGGGGCCCAAGGAGGCCGATGAATTGCTGGCGAAGGATGGCAGGAAGTGGCGCAATGCACCTGAACCGAAGCAGCATCAATCCTGAATTTTCTGTAGACGGCAGCAAGAAAGGCCAACCCAGTGATGCCTGCAAACCGGATTGAATTGAAGGTCTGCGAAGACTTCGAAGCGTTGACCCATTTCACAGCTGACAAGTTTGTAGCGCAGGCACGGAAGTCCTGTGAAGAGAAAGGCCGATTCAGCGTTTGTCTCTCGGGCGGCGGAACCCCTCGTCGCACGTATGAGCTATTAGCGGTCGAGCCGTACCGATCGAAAGTCGATTGGTCTCGCATACACGTCTTTTGGGGAGACGAACGTTGTGTGCCCTGCAATGACGACCGCAATAATTCCAACATGGCACGGAAGGCTTGGCTCGATCAGGTGCCGATACCTTCCGAGCAAATTCATGCCATTGATGGTGCTACTGACCCTCACCAAAGTGCTGTTTCGTATGAGCACACTTTGCGAGAATTCTTTCGCGATGAACCGAATACATTCGATTTAAATCTGCTCGGGTTGGGAGAAAACGGTCACACGGCGTCGCTGTTTCCGGAAACGGCCGTGCTCGACGAAACCGAGCGCTGGGTCGCCGAAACATTTGTGGCAGAGCAGGACATGAATCGGATAACACTGACCGTTCCTGTCCTCAATAGGGCGGTCCTGACGGTGTTTCTCGTCTCCGGCGCGGCGAAGGCCCAAGTTCTTCAGGACGTTTTGGAAGGGCCGTCTCAGCCGTCTGTGTTGCCGGCTCAGTTGATACGCCCTTCCGACGGCCAACTGCTATGGTTGGTTGATCGCGCAGCGGCGGCGAATGTGACCAAGAAAACTTCCTAGCAGTAACTATGTTTCCAACTCGGCAACCTTCGCCAACCTCCGAACATGCCGTTCGTAACCGGTGAAACGCGCCTGCAGGAAATAGTTGACAAGCTCCTTCGCCAACTCGTCGCCGATGACGCGACTGCCAAGGCATAGCACGTTCATATTGTCATCTTCCACACCTTGATGGGCTGAAAAGCTGTCGTGGATGAGGCCCGCACGCACTCCGTGCACTTTGTTTGCCGCAATCGAGGCCCCTACCCCGCTTCCGCAAATAGCCACACCACGATCCACTTCTCCTTTGGACACCGCATGAGCCAACGGAACGACAAAGTCGGGATAGTCGTCGTCGAGTTGCAAAGAGTGTGCCCCAAAGTCGATCACCTCGTAGCCTGCATCTTGAAGGAAGGTGTGCAACAGAACCTTAAGCTCGTATCCACCATGATCGGCGGCCAGTCCGATTCGCAATGCAGATTCGCTGTTCATTATGTGGTCTTCCGCTTGCTGGCAGAGAAGGAACTCTTGCTATTGCTTATCATTCGACGCTATGAGCGCAGTCGTTCCAAAGTCGAATCACAGGGTCTTCTCGATCGTGGTGATAGCCGAGAATGCTGAACGCAGCCGTACCGAGATAAAAGTAGCGCCCCAGGTCAGGTGCCAAGCCAAGCCAGCGCGCTGCTAAGACGTGCAGGAAATGGCTGTGCGAGAACAACAACACGTTGTCGTCAATTGTCCGAATGCGCTCAACCACTCGATCGGCTCGGGCTCCAACCTCAGAAAGCAGTTCGCCATGCGGACAACCGTCGTTGAAGATGTCCCAATTGGGGCGTGATTTGTGAATTTCGGGCGTCGTGATTCCTTCGTAATCACCATAGTCCCATTCGACTAAGTCTTTGTCTTGGACCGCTGTCTCGCCGAATCCGGCCAGCTCACAGGTGTGCGAAGCCCGTTGCAGTGGGCTTGTAAACACCTTCGCAAAGCTTATGCCCTGTAGTCGCTCTCTCAACCGACTGGCGTTTCGCTCTCCGCGTTCGGTCAACGGCACATCGGTCAAACCCGTGTGCTGCCCTGAGAGGCTCCACGCCGTTTCGCCATGACGAACAAGATAGACTGACGGAAACTGCTTGTTACCCATTGTTGACCTTCAGGCTTTCGTCACCTGGTCTTCCATCGTGGAATCGACCCGAGTGTTGCAAAGCTAGCAACGGAATATCACCGGTTATATCTCAATAAGAAGTTCAAATAAGAGTCTAAACAGGCTCCCAGGATTCTACGCATTTCGGTCGAGACGTCGATAAGACTTGGAGCAAGGCTTCTCAATCCTCGGGCGAGTGCTTGACGGTCAGTCCATGAACCTTCAAGTTTTGGGGCAAGATCGACACGGTTCGATCGAATGTCCTGGACAATGTCTTCCTTACCGGGTCTATAGGAAATACTTCTGCATGTTTCGATGGTTGAAACGAAGATCAAGAGAACGCCTACGACGCTCGGAGCCCCCTGCCGAGTGGCAGACCGTCGTCGAGACCAACCTCTGGCAATACGCGAAACTGTCGAAGGACGATCAAGAGAAGCTGCGCGGCAATTCCCTGATTCTAGCGAGCGAGAAGAACTGGGAAGGCTGCGGCGGGCTGGTGCTTATCGAAGAAATGAAGCTCACCATCGCTGCGCAAATCGCTTTACAGACGCTGGGGTTCGAAGAGCAGTATTTCGACAAAGTGCTTTCGATTCTGGTCTACCCGAGCGCCTATCGCGCGCGAGAGCAGTCGTCTCTTGGCGGGGGCGTTGTTCTCGAGCGAGATTCAACACGCATGGGAGAAGCCTGGTACCGTGGGCCGGTGATCCTCTCATGGCCCGATGTCGTAAAAGGAGGTCGCAGCCCCAACCATTCCCGCCAGGTGGTCATTCACGAGTTCGCCCACCAGCTCGACCTACTCAACTCCAGGGTGGCTGACGGTGTTCCTCCGATGGCCTCTGCTGCTCAAGCCAAACAATGGATCGCGACCTGTGAAGAATCATTCAATCGCCTGGTCCACGATTGCCAAAACGGACATCGCCCGCTCATCGATTGTTATGGAGCCACCAACCGCCAGGAGTTCTTCGCCGTCGCGTCAGAGGCCTTCTTTCAAGCCCCGCATTTGCTAGCAAGCCATGACCCCAATCTCTTCGAGGTTCTGCGAACTTACTACGGCCAAGATCCACTGCGGTGGGCACGGTGAGCTGATAGCGGCTCACGCTACTGGATTACAGTGAGACTCAAGGTCTGATGCCATAGGGTCATTGCAGCGTCGTGCCAGGCCGATTGTAACGTTGTTGTTGAACAGAATTGCAATGGCTGATCCATGAATGACTTTGGCTTGGTAGATATTGGGCTCACGACGCAAGTAGATCCACCTGCGATTACAACACGTAATTGCCCGGGTAATCATGCCCTAACTGACCTGACAGAAACACAAGATACGAATCTAGAGCCGCAAACGTATTTGGAGAGCGGTATGCCAGTCGTATCGCAGTGAATTGGGGAAGTGCTCGTGCACGAAGGATGGTGCGGGTGCCGAACTCTATCGCGATACATGGCAACCGAACTTGTAAAGATCGATGCGAGAGTTAGGTGCTGCCATGTCACAAAAGGCGAAAGCCTGGCCGCACTGGACGCTGAGACTGCCGGTGTATCTTATTAGGATGACGTAGTCCGCAAGCATAGAGATATTCTTGAATTTTGTGTTGACGTGGCCGATGTTAGTGTAATAATGACACTAAGAAGTAACCGGAGTCCACAATGAATACTCCAGCATCCTTAGCTCTGCTCACCGACCTCTATCAGCTCACGATGGCCTATGGCTATTGGAAGCTGGGCCGTGCTGATCGGGAGGCGGTATTTCATTTGCACTTTCGCAATCCTCCCTTTTCCGGCGGATACGCTGTGGTTGCTGGATTGGGGTCTGCAATCGAATACCTGGAGAGGTTTCGGTTCGACGAATCTGACTTATCGTACTTGGCTACCCTAACCGGCAATGATGAGCGGCCATTGTTTGATGATCGCTTTCTTGAATACCTCCAGGGGCTTCAGCTCGCTGTCGATATCGACGCGATGCCCGAGGGAACGGTCGCCTTCGCCCAAGAGCCGCTAGTGCGGGTCAGGGGGCCGATGCTGCAATGCCAGGTTCTCGAGACCGCGCTTCTGAATATCGTCAATTTCCAAACGCTGATCGCAACGAAGGCGGCAAGAATTTGCAGTGTTACAAAGGGTGAGCCTGTGCTGGAGTTCGGGCTTCGCCGTGCCCAAGGAGTTGATGGCGGGCTCACCGCCAGCCGGGCCGCATACCTCGGGGGCTGTGCAGCGACCTCGAATGTGCTGGCCGGAAAGCAATATGGAATCCCGGTAAAGGGCACACATGCACACAGCTGGGTCATGTCGTTCGATGATGAACTTCTGGCATTTGATGGCTACGCTCAGGCCATGCCGAACAATTGCGTGTTCTTGGTCGACACCTACGACACGCTCGAAGGGGTTCGCAATGCTGTGCAAGTCGGCCAGCGACTGCGTAAGCAAGGGCACGAGATGGTCGGCATCCGCTTGGACTCGGGAGACCTTGCGTATTTGAGCATCGAGGCTCGCAAAATTCTTGATGACGGTGGATTTCCCGACGCATCGATCGTGGCGTCGAACGACCTCGATGAACAGATCATTGAAAGTCTTAAGGCACAGGGCGCCAAAATTGCCGTGTGGGGCGTCGGCACCAAGCTGGTAACTGCCTACGATCAGCCCGCCTTGGGTGGTGTTTACAAGCTTGGCGCTATGAAAGACGTCCAGGGTGAATGGCAACCCAAGATCAAGCTCTCTGAGCAGGGAGCCAAGACGACGATCCCGGGCATGCTGCAGGTGCGCCGGTTCCATGTCGACGACAAACTAACCGGCGATATGATCTACGACACATCCAGTGACATCGACTCCCGAGGAGTGATCGTCGATGTGAAGGACAGCAACCGACGCAAGCGCATTCCAATCGCCTCTGCAGGCGACGACCTGTTGGTTCCAGTACTACGCGGTGGTGAGCTTGTCGGCCCGTTCGCCGATGGGACAGAAACCCTGGAAGTCGCCCGTACTCGGGCGGCAAGGGAACTCACTCAGCTAGACCCCAGCGTTCTGCGGCTACTCAATCCACACGAGTATCCCCTGGGCCTCGATGTGGGACTGCACGAGCGACGCGATCAAATGGTTCGCGAATTGCG